ATAATAATAATAATAATATCTTTATTGCTTCAAGAAAAACATACAGGCGACACAATCACCACAGTTGTAAAAGCAGTCCCAAATAGTAACATATACTGTAATAAAACAGTTGCAATAATACAACTTAGTCAGTGCTTAGTATAATAAATCAATAATAACTGAAATATGGACATTATAAGCATTGATGATAAAAGTATACGTACATTTATACAAAGTCTACAAAAACTACTACACATAAGTGTATCTAAATAAAACAAATATTCACCTGTATTCTATTTCCTTTCTTTTGACCACTCCAAGTATTCATTTATCGAATAAAATGATTGATTTAAGAGAAAATTATTTATAGCTAACTTAAATTTTTTAAAATCACTTGATAATTTTCTTAAATTAGGTGGCAGATTATTAAATATTATAATACCCATACAACACACACTATTCTTATATTTGGCCAAATTTATCAATGGCATGTGTAAGCTGGTACTTTGTCGTGTATTTATGACATGTATTTCAGCATTTAGTGCAAACAAATGTATATTTTTCACCACCAGAAGCAAAAGCGAAATTATATATTGAGAATAAAAAGGCAATATGTTTAAGTATTTAAAAAATCCCTGACAAGAGGCTCTAGAATTTACATTCATAATACTCCTTATAATTATTTTTTGCACTATGAAGACATCCTTGCCAGCCTGTTCACTACAAATCATACATGAACTATCCTGGTACCGAACAAAGGCCACTATGATCAGAAGCATGAGCTTCAAGCCTTTGTTACTTTTGTTCACTTTTGGACCCAGGCATCTAAGTGCCAGCCTGTTCACTATAAATCCCACATGAACTATCTTGGCACTGAACCAAGGCCTCTATGATCAGAAGCATGAGCTTCAAGCCTTTGTTACTTTTGTTTACTTTTGGACGCAGGCATCTAAGTGCCAGCCTGTTAACTACAAATCTACATGAACTATCCTGGCACTGAACCAAGCCCACTATGATCAGAAGCATGGGCTTCAAGCCTTTATTACTTTTGTTTACTTTTGGACGCAGGCATCTTAAGTTCCTTGTATTTACTGTTAAAGGGATCTTTCTGCTCTTCTCTTTTTCAAATACTATTACCATGTTAGAATAATGGATAGTCTACAAAGCCCAGAATGCTCCTTACATTATGTGTACTACACCACTCTCAGAACCGCTTTACAATTAATTACCATAGTATTCATCACACATATAGATGTCATTGATGAGCTTTGGGTAAAACCTCAGGAGCCTTTTGGCGAGGTCTGCATGTATGGATGTTGCGTTGAGAAGGCACAGATGCAGGCAGGTCTCCCCCACTGCCCCCCGCTCCTTCAGGTCCCAGCACACCAAGCGACATTTGCTAGGGTCTGGGAAAATCGTTCATTAGATGAATACTATTTGAGGGACACATCAGAAGAGTTTGCATTAGGTGAAATTAATGTGGAAAGCTGACTAAAAGTGTGAAGGCCCATACTGAGATAGCAATGATGTGTAGGAAGGGAAAGTCAAGAGGTGGTGGCAAAAGGTAAATAATGGAAAAGAATAGTCAAAGGAGGTCAAGGATCTTAGAGGACTGTACAGTTAAGGGGTAGGTAAATAATTAAATTGGGCAAGATCTTTCTTGAGAAGTAGAGTTGTTTAGCAGATCAAGAAATTTACTTTTTTTTATGGAACCTGAAGTTTCATTGTAGTGTTAACAAGAACTTGCCACAGACTTCTAATCTAAGTCTGTTTAATCCAGTTAACAACCTGCTTCCCATTTCTTTAAAATCTTTCAGCTCTGATCTGTTGCTAGGTCTGTCAAATGGTGTCTTCCCTTCAGGACTAGTAACTAAATTGTTGGAGGCTATGCACTGTTCTTCTCCACCCATTCATTTCACCATTCTTTATTAGAGCACTCTAATATTTTGTGAAGGGAACAAATTATAATTTGTAATATGTGCAAATTTTTGTTGTGTCCTGTTACTCAATTTCCTCTATATCCAGTTGTTCCCCTCAGCATGCTAATGTTAAACACCTTCAATCTATGTGAGATGTGATGTTTTCACAGTGGTGAGTGTTAAGATTACAATTTTCTGTAATGTAGGTGCCCACCCTCCCCCGGTACTACAAGGCATGATATCCCTGAACACCATAATACTGTGACACGTAAATCCATTGCTAGGCAATGCCGGCAGCACACACACACACACACACACACACACACACAGTCAACAATACTGGAGCAGTGATTTCTTTGTGTTCGCACAGCTTGCACATGTGCGGTGATGTCACAAGAACAGTGCATAGTGATCACGTGGCATGTATTTTCTGCAGGTCAGTGCCGAGGAGTTATCTTGAAGACAGTTGGCTCTACAGAGCAGTTGAGAGAGAGAGCTCCAGAGGATTGAGGACTAAGGATGGAGGTTTCAATAGTTGAAGCGTTACCAAGTAACAACTAGCAAACAGATGTTGAAGAATTCATTTTTTGTGTTACAGTCAGGGCTTGAGGTGGGGCGGGATGGCATCCCGGTTCTTTTCTGAATGGCTTAAAAGCATTCCGTTACTTCTTTGGCAGTAAATGCAATGTACAATACCTTTTTTGTTGTTATCTGTTTCATGGTTATACAGGCTACTCCCCTGCGTCGTCTAACTAAATTTTGCTTTCATGTGGTACTGTTTGAAGCACCCAAGAATGCACAGTCCCACATCACATTTCTCGCACTTCGTCTGAACACGTTTCCTCTTTCCACATGCAGAACAAACACAGCATTTCATTCTCATGGCACAAGAGGTCGGCCAGTGATGTCGATTGGCCTCCTCTAGACGAAATATTGTGGATGACAGAGCAGGAGGTCGACCTAATGGGCGTTGTGGTTGGGAGCGACACATTACAGCATGTTCCAGCATGTAGCGCATAAGGGTAAGACGAAAGTCCCTATGTGACAGTTTCGCACCGCAGGATGAAACTGTTCAGAATCGTCAGATCCAGTAAATGGAAGACGCTTGTTTGGCAGCAATACGGGTTTTTCAAAGAAAGTAGGGGGAAGGTAATTTTCCTTTGTATCAACTTCCAACCAAATACCCTGAATAAGCTGAGAAACTTGTGAAGATAGAAATATATAGGCTTATGGCCAGCACACTTTTATGGCATGGGGTTTCTGCTAACAAGCCCAAGTGTTACAAACAGGAAAGATTTTATACTGCAGAACTGTTGTGTGTAGGAGTGGAAAAATTTTATACTGCAGAACGGCTGTGTGAATAATTTTGTAGTTAATTCCATTCATTTATCATAAAAATTGTATTGGATAGAGCAATTCCAAATACAACGCTCAAGCGCTCTAAGTGGAACTGGCATTTAAATGTAGAGCAGGAACGTGGATTTAAACCCCTGCAAGCAGCGGGCATTTAAATAAACCCCAATCAGCTAGCTTTACCTGCGTTTCAAAACTCCGGCGGTTAAAGGTTAAGGAAAGATTAATTTTCGTATTCTTAAGACCGATAATAAATTA